CTTAAATCTATTTAAATAATATTCCTTACAGTAGTTAGGTTTTGTTGAGAGTTGTTTAATATTAATGTTCTTTTTCCTTAGGAAGCCATATTTTTGTCAAGATACTTGTCTTCATACCTGATTTAGTAGCATCCGTGCTGTGAGTTTTGATGTCTTCCATTCTTGTTTCTTTGTTCATGTTGCTTTCAGTGCTCCCCTATTTTAATAAAAGTTTCTAGGATTATACTTAATTGGTTTGTCACTCAAGGAAAATCAGCACTTCAGGCAATTAAGTATGCGAGATGGCTAGGTAACAAAGAAATAGAGATTTTTGTCTTCATCTTGGCTATGAAAAATCCATTATTCATTATCTTATTGTTTTTAAATACTGAAGTAAAATTTTCTGACACAATAGGAAAATTGCTTTTGCAATAGAATAAATTGCTTGCCAGTTCAGAGGCTGCATTTTGAAGTCAAGGTTACTAAACATGATGATGCTTATATTCATTATCTTCAGTACTCAGTGAAGCTGCCTAATTTTAAGTGCAAAACTAGATAGAAAGTGATTGAGGAAAATATTTATTTACAATATGATGGCATAAAACTTTCATAAAATGATTATGATTAAGACATCCATTCATTCTCTAAATGTTATCATGTTTACAATAGTAGTTTTGAGTTTTAGCTGTGCTTGTCTCTCTCTCTCTCCATCTTGCAACAAAACATGGACCAGTTTGTGTTGCATTGGGCCATCAAGGGGGTGCTCTGCAAGGTGGAAAACATTTGGTCCTACATGTGTAACCCTATGGGGGGCATGGGGGAGAGGTTTTCAATCTCTGGAGATATGGGGTTTTCTGTTGCTGACAAGTGCTTCATGCTCACCCCCTGGGAGGGCCACCCTGTATATTTGTATAATAAACATTTAAAAAGACTTTCATTCTTATAGAGGGAGCACCAAGCTGAGCCCCTGCAAGCCTCATCACTTCTCTTGTCCAGTTGTACACCATAAGCTTAAAAGCATAAAGTCTACCTGGCTCTTGGAGAACGCCCTGGCTGACCGACCAGGCCTGCACTCTATCTGCTTTGATTCGTGCCGCTTGGCTGAAACTAAATTTGCCCTCCCCACAGATGCACTTGCTTGCCATAGTGGACCACCTCTGCAAATGATGAGTCCTCCCCAATGGTGGCTCAGTAGACAAACTCCCCTCCCCTCCCCTCCCCACACACTTTATCTTTCAGCACTGCCTATTTCTTCACTTACGGACATCAGTGTGTGACAAGCCTGATACCCTGTTGTTCCTCTCTGTGTCCAGGGAGAACAGTAGTGGGATATGCTTTGAGATCCTGTCTGGGCAGACACTGTACATACGGACAGTCAGTGTGCCATATCCTCTTTGCCTGCCTTGACATGACTTAGAGGCAGTGCCTAGTGGCAGCAACACCAGAGTAATCCCACCCAGCCTGGCACATCCCATACAAGGATGCATTGCCAAGAGAATTGGTGACCTCCAGTGGTAGCTGCTGCATGGATCCCTGGCCATGAGCACCTTTGTCCACCACCTAGACTTGGCAGCATTGGCGGTTTGTCCTTCCTGCAAGGAGGAGGTGAATGGAGACTCTTGTCCATGCCTTCTTGGGCTACCCTCAGCTGCAGCTACTCTTTGCTGTCTTGGTGCCCTCTTTGGCACTTGGACTTGCACTTCTCTGAGGCTATGTACATTTTCTCTATCCCATATCAAGGAGCTGAAAGGAGTGTGATCTGTGGTCAGTTTCGTGCTGGACCAGGCCAAGATGGTGACCCTAAAAAATCACAGTAACTGGCTGGCAGGGGTTGTTTCCAATGATACCCTCCAACTTTGCTGCTTTTTGGTCCAGGCAGGTGTCACGTTTTAGTTGTACATTTGATCTTACAACAAAATGTGGATCAGTTTGTGTTGCATTGGACCATCGAGGCAGCACTCTGTAAGGTGGAAGATGGACAGCTAGTCCTAAATGTGTCACCCAATGAAAGTGGTCAGGGAGGGGGTTTCAATCTTTGATCTTGTATTTTTGTTGCTGACAAGTGTTTCATGCTTAGCATTTGGGAGGGCTATTCATTATTGCACTTTTTACCTTTTTGTTTTTAATATTTTTGTAATAAACAATTAAAAAGTAAAAAATCTTTCTTCCTCCACCCTCCACGTCAAAATTGGATTGTTTCCCAGAATACTCCTGTGTTTAAACTTAAATTATTCTTTCAAGGAAGATTCTCACACTGTTTTCTTTGATGTTTCTTCATATATAAAACAGTTCTCATTCTGAATAAGATATACTGTATTCTTTTCACAAGTTGACTTTCCCTTCTTTTTGACTCTATATGGACAAAAAAGTGTTTTTGGAGATTGTGACATGTTGCTGTTGATACTATGATAATGTAACCAAATAAATAATTATGATTTATCTGGATGATATAATGGTAGAACAAATGCATTGTAAAAGAGAAATTCTGTAATAAAAGAAAATCTTCTTGATAATGTAATAGTTGTCATGTTTAAACAAGAGGTATTATAAAGCTATGAAATGTAAATTAAGTAGATTAAGTATGATTAGTTATTTTACTGAACCCCAGAGCTTAAATGGACAGTTTCATACTTTCATAAGCTAGTTATATTACTATATAATTTATTTTAACATTCCAAAATAGAGTAAGTAGAAGATAATCCAAATTTATTAAAACTCTAAATGTTTGTAACATAAGAAGAGAATATATATTATTTTTTAAAGTAAGTACTTAAAAAAGAATACATCCATAGATTATTGATAGTGTATTTCATTAGTTAGCAATTGTATTTTTAAGCCAACAAAAGTTAGATGCAACTCTTGGGAGAAAAAATATCTGTTGAATTTGTCTCCAGTAAGATTGTAGTTGTATATCATGATTTTGTTAAATGTATTACATGTCTGTTTTTTAGAGATGAAATTGGGTTCTTTAAATAATCTGAACTGGAAAAAAAATCTTTCTTTAAAAAACCCAATATTTTTTACATGTTTTTATACCCTTTATTAAAAGTCTTTTTTGAGCTGTTCCACCCTTCTCTTAGCTTTTTTTCCTTCTAATGTTTTCATAAAATTTGAGGAACATTCATATAAGATGTTTGCACATGTTGTTATGAAAGCATACATTTCTGAGAAACTGGATGGAACAGAAATGGGAAAAATTGCTAGTTTTAAATATGATATTGACATATTCCCTGAAGAGGGCTAGTGTTCTGCATTATTTCAGATAGATTAAGTTTAAGGTACTAAAATTAATCTGACTTCACACACACATCCTTTTTATTTCCATTTAGGAATTAACATCAGGTTCAGACCAGTGGTAAGTCAAGTCAAGTAACTGGTACTTTGACAGTAACTAGTGACAAATGCTTCAAAGCAGGTGCAGAAAAACACTCCCTAGCATATGGTTAGGGTTTACTGTGTGATGTAGTGTCAAAATTATATGTCTGAGTGCTATATTCTGAGGCTGCTCCATTGCATGACTATTTTTGTCAAAGAAATCCAAGTATAGTATGAAATGTAGTTCTTGTTGGTTCTTCTTCAAATGTTTCAATTGATTATAACATCCTACTTTTTCATGGTAAACATTCCTGCATCCAATCTCTGCTGCACATTGTATTCATAGTATTTTTGCCTTTTATACTGTATTCTTCCCAACATGTATGTTGGAGGTTCGTAATACTCTTGGTTAGAATTGCTTGTATCAATGTACTTTAAAAGATTATCTTTGAATACCGCATTTGTCAAACCAACCTTGAAAAAAGGGATTAGTCAGCAAAGATTGTGAGTTATATGTTGAAATTTGGGATTTGTTAGCCACTCTGGGTTTTTTTTTAGCCAAAGGAAATTGGAGAGAGAATGTTTACTTATTATTTTTTCAGGTTTCCTTTTAAAGTGCAAAAACCTTTTTGATATCAATGTCAAGGTTAGGCATCGGTGTTATGCTTTTAATATTTTGCAATGTTGAACGTTTCTAGCTGTGACTAGAATGGCTTTCCTAGTGTACCTTTGGTAGTTTGCAGAGGGGTGTTTTTTGTAACTTGCTGACTGTCGCTTTACAAGAGTTGTAATAAACTTACTTTTCCATGAAATGCTTTAAGACTTAAAAGGTGATAGCAAAGGAGTAAGTTGGAGGTCAGCACAAGTGCTTAAAAAACTTGAGATAGTAGAATAGTATGTGTTTAGCTGGAAAGTGACTAATGAAGCTCTATCTTATAGCCTTACAGATAGATGTGTGGCTTGCTCTTCATACAGACATGTGACTTAACTCCACTATTTGCCTCGAAATTTTGCATAATTTTGCTGAACATTAAAAATGCATAATCTAGAGAATTTTCAAAGGGGCCTTTGAAAGGGTGAAGTTGGATATAGCCTTTTGCCTGAGATAAAGTGTAGTTTGGAGCTTCAAACATACTAGTTGCTTTATCAGATGAGGAATAGAACATTTGGGGTCAAGCTTTTTGGCATGTGCAGCACTTTAGCCCTACATCTGCCCCAAGTGCCACTCTGATCCTCTTTTTCCACCTGTGCTGCTTCTCTGTTTTCTGCTCCCTGTCTGAGTTGCTGCTCTGCTTTCTGCTTCCTTTCCTATGTTCCCTGCCCAATTTGCTGTTTTGCTTTTTTCATGCCTTATTTGCCATTATGCTGCTTGTCCCCCTTCCCTGTCTGCCATGTGCAACATGCAGTGGCTGCCCATGCCACCTTGTAGTCCCTGTGCTGAAGGTTGGCCACCCCTGGAATACAGGTTCAGTAGTTACTTGCAGACTACATGGTGTGCCACTCTAAATATGAAGGTTGTATTATTTGTCTTTACTCAGACTGAAATGATACAAGTTGTTTGTGTGTTTGCAACAAAAATACATCATGTGTTTATATTGAAACAATTTTTAATATGGAATTCCTTGTGAAATCTGAAACTTATCACCTTGTTATACTATCAATACACTTCTACTATTATGTCATTTGTTTTTATTTAACTATACCAGGTACCAGGTGGAAGATGAGTCCTCCCATTTGGATGAAATGCCATTAATGATGTCAGAAGAAGGATTTGAAAATGATGAAAGTGACTATCATACTTTACCACGAGCCAGAGTTTCTCAGAGAAAGAGAGGCTTAGAATGGTTTATCTGTGGTGGATGGAAATTCCTTTGCACCAGGTTTGTTGCATGCTGTTGCTTTTTATCTCTTGGACCAAATTATACCATGTTTAAATATAAAGTTCTGTTTTTACTCTGATATAAATGTCTCTAATGTCTCAGCTCCCTGTGCTGGTCTGCCCCTAAGGCAAGGGTAAGAAGCAGCAGTTGGAGGAAGGAGCCTGAAGACTTCAGGTGCTATTGCAGCCAGAGCAGTGTGGGGAAATAAAGGCCAGGTGAGAGCCTGGGCAGGAGGGGGAGAGCACACATTAACCCCTTGTGGGCTGCCACTTGGACAGCCCTGTATTATAACATTCAAATGAGCATTATCCTTTTGCATAAATCAGCCTGCCAGTGGGTGGGGAGAGGAGGGCGGGGGGGCAATAAGGACAAGCAGTGGTTTCTCTTGAAACATATTAACTCCCAAATTTACTGGCCTGAAGTCCATAATTGGCAATACTCAGTTCTGGCTCTTGCTTCTAGTTTATTCAGTCAGAGAAGAAAGTGATGATACTTTCACTGGTAGCTCTGAAAATGGTAATTCTAGTTCATTAACAGAGGCAATACTTAGATTTTGATGGATGTTGGTGAAAGGAAAAAGCAAATTCATTAACTGGTGATAAGTTAACATTTCAACTTTAAAGGTTAAAAAATACACATAACTGATGGGTCTGCAGTGAATAAAAGTTAGAATTGGCTCTTGTAACTCTGCTCACATTTATAAACCTCTTGTGCTGAACTATTTTGTGCTTAATTTTAGCAGAGACCCATTAGACAATTACTGGTGTATTCATTTGGGAATTGTTACCTTTTTTTTCTACTAAGGATTTACTTTTTTTTTTGTTAAAGTTTTGGTTAATGATATCTCCCGTAAGGCAACATTATTTAATATTCTAAATATAATAAACCATCAGATTCAACATGCAAATGTCTTTCCTTATGTACTTGACCTGATTTTATTTTATAAACATTGAAAATTCAGCCTGTTTAGTTACTGTGTATTTCAGAGGGAAAAGAACAAGAGGAGAGCATGCTATTAAATAAGTAATTAATCTAGTTTTGGTTTCATTTATTGCTTTGTTGACCAATTCATTGCCTTTACAATTAGGGAATAACTGCAGAGTTGAAATAATAGTATGTCTTCTTTTCCCTACCATCTGAGGAATTAAATATATTATTTTAGAGGTAGTAGAGAAAGATAAGAACGGAGGGGCTGCCTCAGCCACACCCAAGTGACGCATCTGATTTCTCAGGTGGTAGGGTACTGGGATTTTTTTAGTTCAGATATTCCTGTATCTTGTATATAAAATTGATTTTTAAATCGGCTGGGTAACTGTGCCTAAAAGTCTTAAGGAGAGCCAATTGAACCCTTAACCTTTGATACTGATATTATACAAATCACAAAAAATGGGGGATGTTGCAGAAAACTGGAGAAAAGCTATTATGTCATTTTAAAAAATATGGTTAGCATGATGACTTGTGTATTCAAAGACTGGTTAGTCTGACATCTGATTGTGGGCAAAACCATGGTGCTGGTGCTGGTACAAGGTACAGACATTAAGGAATCGCATAATTGTGTTATATCTAATGCTGGTCAGCTTGGTTTTCTGGAAAGCTAGCCTTCTTAGGCAAACTTAGTATTGTTTCTGATGAGATTGCAAGAGTGGGTGGGAAGTATATTTGCACTGATGTAACACTTGGTATCAGAAAAATTTGATCTAAAAAAAATTAGCATCATACCAAATCACTACAGGGTGTTAAATGGAGGAAAAACTGGTACACTTACTGGATAAAGAATTTTGGATAGTTTTGGCTTATCTGAGGACTGGAAACCCAAATAAACATGAACACTCAATGTGTATCATTGGTTAGGAGCAAATGAAAGAGTTCTAAGTAGAGTATTCTGTACATTATATGCTCTGCTGGAATACAGCCTCAGGACTGAAAAAAGGCTGTGCATTTATCTCAATGTAATGTAATCAATGCTTAATAAGTACACCGCACTGTCATGTCATTGCTGGCATGTCAGTATCCACATTCCTGAAACTGACAAGGTCCCCTCATTTTCGAGGGTTGCAATACCCACTTTGGGGGCTAATGATTAGAATTTTGAAAAAGGGGAGAACTGCCATGAAACTGTCTAGCTCCTGTTATTTTCCAATTTTCTAAAGGTAGCCTTTTGAGGGCTGCTTTCCCTTCACTCTTTCTGGTATAGGGGGGTACAGTTAGTTACAGAGTAGACAGATATATTTACTAGAAATGCAAAACTCTAGAACTCTTGGTTCAGAGATGATACCATTTATTAGACCAACTAAGAAATTGCAAAAAAATATCTTTTTCTGCAAGCTTTTGGACACACACACCCTTCCTCAGCCCTGGGGAAAAGTAAAGATGGTAAGAAGTCCCCATAGATAGAAAACAAGCAGTTTAACTAGAGTAGGACATTTTGCTTCTGCAGGCTGGAGCTTGTGCCTGGCACTCTGCTACTGTTTTGCCAAGAGTTCAAGTCACAAGCACTTAGCCTTGTCACTGATAGAGCAAGGGAAAGCGGAAGAGGGGACAGGTAGCTCAGTGTAGCTGTGCGCTGCCCATTTCCCCAGGCTGACATTGGTCGGGTCCATCAGTTTCAAGGACTGTAGATTGCTAATTTCTGAACCAGAGCACAATGAAGTAAAAAAAGTACGCAGTGAAAGATACTCTGCACTTATTTATCCAATTGCAGATAACTGGAGTTGGCTATACGGTAAACAATAGACAGCAAATTGGGACTAGTAATATATTATGCAGTGAAGTGAGTTATGTTGTTATCCGGTATGCATGTAAGTAGGATACACGTCACTAGAATTTGAGGTATGTTACCACTGCACAAGTCATTAGCAAGAACATCACTGAAATACTGTTCAGCTCCCATGTTAATGCTTGGAAAAGGATAGTGATAGGTTGAAAGTGGTTCAGAAAGAGATAAAAGAAGTCTGTAAAGAGATGTTGCATTTGACCTGGTCCTGAGTGTCCTGGGTATGTTAACTCGGATCAAAACCTGAAGCAAAACAGTCATTTACACAAGTAGCCCTTCCAAGTTACATTGTTGCCCTTCCAATAGCTGGCCTGCCAGAGTACACTTCCTGGATAGCTTGGTTGCAAATGACCCAGGATAACTTTACAGGTACACACCGTAATATCCGAGGAAAGAGTTATAGCACATTTTATCTCACCGGCTTTGGCAGTTTTGAAGCAGGACAATGGTCTTGTATATCTGTGGGGTCAGGAGACAACTTGCTGTCTTTTGGAACAAGAGTGAGATCTACTTACAGCTTAAGTGCTTTAAGCTCTGGAAAACCTGTCTTCTGCTGAGCCTAACAGACCTCATGCTCTTTTAACAGACAGGCAAAATAGAATCCAATGGCTGGATATATGAAGCTAGACAAATTCAGAGTTAAAACAAGTAAAGATTTTTAACAGTGATGGTGATTAATAACTGGAATAACTTGCACAGAATGTGGTATTGTCTTAATGTTTTGTAGTTCCTTTTTAAAAAAGGTGCTGTAGCTCGTCACTTGTAGGAATCAGTTGATAAAATACTGTGACCTGTATTTTGCTTGAGGTCAGGCTAGGTTATCATATTCTTTCTAGTTTTAAAAACTGCTAATGATTCATACTGGCCTTTAGTAAATTTGAAGTACCATCTTCTTCCAGTTGCTTTAAGGTAAAATGAGTTTACTGTGTGTTCATCCCTGTCTATAATTTCCTGTCTGGAACAAGAAGGAAAGGTTTGCACTTTTCTCCCTATATGAGAGTAAGAGAGGATACCTCTCTTACAGAATAATGATTTCATAAAAATGTAAAGTTTGGTCACACAGTGAAATTTAGGTCAAAGTAGGAAATATATGCCTGCATAAATATAATTTACTGTAACCCACGAGCAATGTTATGACCTGCAGGCTAAATATTCAGATTATTTTGTTCAAGTACTGTGCATTTCTGTAAAAAATAAAATAATAAATAAAAAAATTCACAAATGTGAGTTTATGGAGCATTCATGTGGGATCATTTTGTTTCTGGCATTTCCTTGCTTCTCAGCATTCAGATTATGAAGTCGAACTTTTTAATGTAGACTTCTAATATGCAGGTTCCTGAGTTGATAAGGAAAAATTTTAAATGTATACATGTGCAGGTGTAATAACCCTTAATTGTATATCATCAGTGTTTGAATATTTCGGCTTTTGCAGTACAGATTTTATAGGCCTAGCTATTTTAACTGGCAGTAGTAGAGGGCTCTCACGTTAACTCCTCTTATGCTAACCAGCTACCATGGAGTATTTATCTGTGCATGAGTATCCTTCTTTTAAGGTCTCATTGGGTCTTTGGCACTGTGGCAAAACAGATTGGTCTACTATACTGGAGAACTAGTTTGTATTGCCAGTGCTTCTGGAGTATAAAGCACTGGTTTAATAAAAACTTTGAAAACTAAATGATTTGGTTGGCAGCTAAGAGCCTCCTGGTTATTAGTTATTTATTTGTATTATGGTAACACTTATGCACTAATCAGGTCTCTCTGTAATTACATTAGTAGCAGCTTTGTGAAGTCTTTTTGCTGTAAGGATTTCTAGCCCAAGGATAGACTGTTTGAGCTTTTTGGCATACTGCCAGAATTGAGCTGTACAGCACAAACCACAGATGGGAAATGGGTGCTCAATCAAATCTGAATGGAATTTCGTGTACCTGCATCTCTCTCATACTAGGCCTGCCCCTGTCAGGTTTTAAAAGTTGTTTTTTTTTCCCAACTAAAGCTGTTGTAGGATTTGAATAAAAGGGCACAAATATTGTTTACTACTTATGTCTGTTGCTTGCTGCTAGGTGCCACTATTGGGCAATACTTGAATATTTATTTGAATAATAATAATAATCTGATCCTGGAACTGTAGAAAATCAGTGGAAGGTTTTCTGTTGACTTCAGTAGGAGTGAGGTTGAACTTCTGTTTTTAGGAGAAAATTTCAGGATATGACCACAGGAAGATATGCTG